GATGACGTGATGCTCGCTTGTGAAGGCAGAAATATTCCCGAGCAGCAAGTGCAAGCTTGGTCCGATCGCCCAGCGGTTCTGACTCAGGTTGAACGTCAATCTGACAACCGACTTGAGCGTTTGCGGTTCTATCAAAATAAATGGCACAGGGCTGGCACGCACAACGACATTCAAGTACCTTGGATCAGCAATTGCGTCTGATGGCAGTACGGACACTGAGGTGAACTCAGTCAAGACCAGCGGCAATGTACGGCGCTGACATGGAAGGTCTTTCAGGTCATGAGCGCTTTTCCGAAATGGTCCTCTGCATGTTGTAGAGGCTCATGCGAGGACATAAAACTATGGTCCATTTTTCCTGAACACTTCTGGGAACCTCAAACAGTGGTGAAGAAATGGTCCAAAGTTCAATCCGCCGTGGTGACAAATTTTTGCAATCCATGTTGGAGCCTCCAAATTGTCGCCAAATTACGAGGATGACATGTTAATCGACGCTGGTGCCATTTGGACACAATTTGGAGGCGCCAACATAAATTGCAAAAATTAGACATCACGGAGGATCGAACTTTGGACCATCTCTTCTCCACTATTCTGACCTTCCTAGAAGCGTTCAGGAAAAAGGACCATGGTTTTGTGTTCCTTACTTGAGTCTTCCTCTAAGAAGTGAGGGAATGCACTGGAAAAAAACGCATTTCATGTCCCTGGAAGACCTCCCTTGTGAGGCACTGACACAGCGTTCAGAGATAATTGAAGCCCGCCCTGGTGTAATGGAGACGAAGATGCTGCGCCGGACGGCTGGTGTCACGCGGCTAAATCGCATTCGCAACTATATCATACGGGAACGCTTAGGTGTAACTCCCATCACTCATGAAATGCGCAAGGCCCGGCTTCGATGGTATGGCCACGTTCTTCGCGGAAATGATGATAGTGTTCGCAACATCGGTCTCAATATAGACGTACCTAAAAGCAGCCTAAGGGACGTCCAAAGCAGTGCTGGTTCAATACGTTGCATGTCGACTTGAAGTTAGTTAGCATCCCATCTTTAAGGCATGCTCGAGGCATCGCTCGCAACGTGGTGGGGCGCTCTTGCACCGCACGAATGTGAACGTATCGGTGCCAAGTGGGCCGGCAGTGAAGAAAAAAGGAAAAGAATCCGTCGAAAACGCTCAGGTTGAGGGCTCACTCACCTTCCTAATTGGCTGTGCTAAAGGAACGAGAGACTAAGCGCGAAGAGGAGAGTATGGGGCGAGAGAGCGCATCAGATGAGAGAGCACCAGACAACGGCCTGATAAGAGAGCTCGTTCGCTGCAGCTCGAGCAGCTTACTTTGCAAGCCCAAAGCGTTCTTGTCGGTTCGAATTCCAAGCACGAGAACGCCACATTTGTGATTGTTCCCTAGGGTTCTATACTTCTGACCGAAGAGAAGCGTTCACACGACCTCTGCCTGGGTTGTGCCTTTAAGCATTCACTCGGGAAAAGGTATACCAAGCCCACCCCAAGTGCGATGAATGCTGAAGTGTGCTCTCTACTTTGCACCGTGCGGTTCGCGTGCGGAAGAGAGGAGGTTGAGTAGCGTCAAATTACACGCACGACGCCTTCACTCAATCCCACGGTTCTTTCACAGCCCCGCACTCGGCGCAACGTATGAGCAGCCAAAAAAACAGCGAAACAAAAAGAAAAAAAAAGTAGAAAGAACGAAGAAGAAGCAAGATCTAATCTTACATTTGAACCATCTTGGTCCTATTCGAGTGCACACAACCAACTCCAATGAGGGTGTGGTTCACTAGGACAGAAAGCGGCTTTTCGCGTTTCGCAGCGCGAAACATTTTTCTCTGCGGGAACCTCAGGTCCACCGCTGATCATCAGGGGACCGAGGTTCCCGCAGCGAATCATCAGTGGACCCGAGATTCCCGCAAAGAACAATGTTCGCGCTGCGAAAACGCGAAAAAGTCGCTTTCTGCCCTAGTTCTGCCCCAGTGAACCACACCCCTCATGTACCATCTACAACAGTTCGAAAACGTCTTTCTTCGAAGCTTTATTTCCACAAATTTCTCGAAGTAGTTACAAGTAGACGAAGAGAAAATTCTTATACAGCTACGCACCAGTATTAAACAGAAGAAAATTCTGACAATATATTATCGATGGAAAACAGAGTAATGAAGAAGAGAATCTAGCATTAGGATGATATTGGGATATATGATCGCTACATTCCTCCACGAAGAGCAAGCACCAAATGCAAAACAGAGCCTCCAGCGACCTTAACAAACAAATTTATTTTTTTGTTTTCCTTTTAGCCTGCTCATCTATGCTCCGCGATAAAAGGTGCCTAGAACATGGCTCCGCTGCAGCACTTACCTGGCCTGTGGATCTCTGCGTCTCCAGCTACACTTCTACTTTTTGTTCAAGAGCTAACTTACTGCACCAACATCTTTGCTCTGAACAAGCAAACGAGTCCACCCTGTATTTTCTCTGTCTACACTTAACATAGTTCCGAAGGGTGGTATTGGGAAACCAAGTTGGAGAGTTACTCGGAAGCATCAAGCTGCACATTCTCATAAGTGTTTTGCAGACAGCCCTAAGCGCAGCGGACGACGCAAACACACAGGGGCATTTCTGGTTACTATGTCCGAGTTGAGACCTTAGGTTTTACCAGTTCACGTCATTCCTCATTTCCCGGATTAATTTGGAAAGCCTATATTTGATTGACTGGTTTGGGGGGCTTTCTCTCGATCACAGACAAACTAGGACTTCGTAGCAAGCAGAATGAAGGGAACAATGAGGGATCAGCTTTCGAGAACCTTTCAGGTAGTGGTTTCCAGCGCCTAACCAGCAGAGTGTTTGACTGGATGAGAACCTCGCACATCGATTCAAACGCGTGACACTACCTGCAGCATTCATAGCGCAATGGTCCTCCTTACTCCCACTTCCACACACAGGCATGGGTACCCCACAAGGATTTACTTGAACGCAGGCTTATCAAATAAGTAATTATTTCATCTGATTCAGACCTCAAATAAACTGAAATGAAATTATTAGAACAATAGACTAACCTTATAATCCGTAGCAGTCTTGTCATCATTCATTTGCTTTCCTGCAAAGATTAACCGTTGTTGTGGAGGAGGAATCCCTTCTTTCTCTTCAACCTGAAGCAAGGTAGAATGAATATCAAACAGAAGTAGCTGGATACCGTGAAACTAGAAAAATTCTTCATAACAATAAGGTTCAAAGTACAACCGAAACAGTGAGCGATCTAATGCGCAAGAAATAAATAAGCGGACGAACCTTTTCCTTGATTCGCTCAACCTTGTCGTTTGGTTCGATATCTAGCTCAATTTCTTTTCCTGTAAGAGTTTTCACCTTGATAAGCATTCCTGAAACACATCTCTGTTAGAAATTGGAATGACCAAACAAGAAAAGGGATGGTGAGGAACTTGGCCACACACAGAATTAAACTGTACCACAGAGTTTGATACTTTCTTTGCAATTGATGTGCAGATGAAGCTCTTCAAATAGCTTTATGTGACGACGGCCATTCAAGGCCGCAGATGAAACTCTTCAAATAGCTTTATGTGACGACGTTTCGGGCCGTAAGCCCTTCCTCAGGTCTACAAACACAAAAGGCTAATTGTACAACAACAATCGTTCTAGATGAAACCAATACAATACATT